AAACATTGTACCGAACCCATTCCGCATTTCGCTGTGTACAGTTCTTTCGCGCTTTGGCAAATGGCGAGTTCGATTGTGGAGGGAAACCAAGGGTTGGGAATGATGTCGCATGGGATGATGAATTCAACCTGCAGGTGACATGCTGTACTTGTTGATTGCAACACGCCAATCCCTGGCATTGGGAAATTTTCCCCAGCGATGTCTATCAAACCTTAAGTCAATGGATGGCATGATGTTTTACAGACAAGTACACGTTCCGATGATCATTTTACCCTGTGACGAATGCGATTGTAAAGAATTCTGTTTGGACGAACTGCTGTACGAAATATCGGCCAGTGCTAGCCTGGCGGGTGGCCGCAGGAAATCAATCGAAATTGCTAGGAATTTCGAAGTCAACTAGTAAAAAGTAGTACCTTTAAAAGCATTAATTTGGTAACATATGTAGGAACACGGGGCTCCTCATGGCATTTCAGCACTGTTGCTCTACATTCTCCACACTATGGGTGGCACGGTTGCCACACTGTTTCAAAATCCGCGAGGTTACTGTTTCCGTCAGGGGTTTCTGACACACGGTAAAGAAACATGATATTGTATTGGAGCGCCGAAATTACACATTTCAGGTTAAATAAATGGTTTTTTCCTTCTAAATGAATACAAGTATCATTCAATATACTTGGGGAACATATACTACTAGGTCCTCTAACAGTAAAAGTAGTCATAATGATACACATAATAACCAAAATCTGGACTAAAAATGTTTCCCATGCGAGTGAGGCATTTATGAACTACATCACACACCTCGCTATAGTCAGTACAACACGAGACACTCTAAATCAAAGACGACAAATATATGTTAGCGTTTTGTCAACAACGCACTACATGCTGGTATAATTGGTTTACATTATGCAGATACTAAGATGGTTGGCTATCTTTGAACAGTTTTGAACCATTTTGCGCAAAGACGCTTGGTTATTCATACAACTTATACCATAGTCAATACTAAAACCAGTCAGCCTCAACAAAACACATACTTCATACTATTTCTCTCTCTCTATCTCTCTCTCTCTCTCTCAAGCGGTCCTTCATTAATATTATAAAGGGGTACAAGCCATACATGATGAAGCAGCAAAGCAATCCCCTAGCATACCGTCTAGGTATCATGTAGGCGAGCAATCGCTCATGCAAGCAAGTATCAACATATAAAAACTAAGCTAGCTGGGTCTGCTAGCTGTGGCCTACCGTGACCTAGCACCTAGGGACCTCTGCCTCGGGGCCCCCTTACTTCAGCCCCTCACGCCTCCAGGGCTGGCCCCCAGTCCAAGTCATCTTCAATGACTTGGCACAGGTCCCCCAGGCGGGGCTCCCATGGGTCAGCCGCCGCCTGTGGGTAGGCACTCTCTATGGCCCGGTTAGACTTTGCCAGGAAAGCGTTCGCCTGGCTCCTCTGCAGCGCTACCGACCAGCGCTGGCGGTAGTGAGCTGTGAGCTTGGAGGCGACAGTGGTAAGCCTCCCCTGCCTAAATTTCTTTTTAGCCGCTTGTCTGCCTAATAGCCTGAGGAACCTCTGTGTGTCGCGCGCTAGGGCTCCATATGTTTCCACCGCCAGCCCCAACACCCCCACGAAATCCGGCCGTCCCTCATACAGTCCTCGTTTGGTTCTGGCCGCATCCTCCACCGCCCAGCCCGAGGGCTTCACTGCCCTAGTGTCCCGGCGCTGCAGGACTGGGTCCGTCACTGTGACGTCCGTCACATACGTCTCGGCCGACTCCTGGTCCTTGATGGCCAGGTCTGCTCGCTTGGGGTTGATTGGTTGCGAGTAGACTGTGGTCTCATACAGGGTAAGGTAGTTCGCCTCCCTGGCCATGCGGAGCGCCGTATACACGAGGTTGTTGTGTGTGTTCGTCCTCTCTTTCCCCTCCCCGCACCGCAGCAGATGGTTCGGTAGGCTCAGGTCCCCAATCTCCCCTCGCTCCCCCTGGCACGGGCAGTTTTCCGTCACCGGCAGCGCCAGTCCCAAGCGGAACTCCAGAGCCAAGGCAAACTGACTCGGCGAGAACGTCAGATCTGCCCGTGTGGGGATGGCGTGGAGCCAATCCCCTGCGCCTACCCCCTGCAGGCTGATCAACCGCACCACGTGTCCATTGTCTTCCCCCGGCTTATCCATCCGTGTGTCGCCCACCAGCTCCGCTGCCCGGTTCAGGTTGATATGGCGCGACAGTTGCTCCTGCAGGCGTCCCCGTCCTCCCCCGCTGACAACCGGCTCCCCTAGCAGCTCCCGCGCCTCCTCGGGGAGTCTGTTCCGCAGGTCCCGTATTGCTTCCCCTTCCCTTCCGGCCACTCCCTCCCCAAGCGGTGACACCAGCGACGCCACTTGCGAAAGCTGGTGGTTTGGCGAGGGCGGCATTTGCTGCAGCAGCATCTGTGCTGCCCTTAGTGACGCCAGGTATGCCGCCGGTGCCTCTGACAATGGGTCTATCAGCCCCACACCGCCCAGCGCGATCGGCAGCGTCGCCTGCCTCCACACCAGGCTTTGTTCTAGCTCCTTGGAGGGTACATTGATGTGGGCCGCCCTCAGTGCTGTCCACAGCAGCCTCTCGCTCCACCCCCGCCATTCCCGGATGGGGAGAGTGTCCGCCGGCGTAGTGCGCAGGAGGTAGGAGATTCTGCGCGATATGCAGCGCGACAGGAGCAGCTTCGCGTGTTGTGGGTGGAGCTTGCTGACTAGGATCAGCGGGAGGGCTATCCGCTCCAGCGATGCTCGAAGCGTGCGCCTGCAGTATGCTACTGTGCCTATGGGGCTCCCAAGGACTTGCACTCCGTCCACCTCCGCCGCCAATCCTTCCGGCAGGTCTGTTGTGTTCCCCGTGGGGCTCCAGGCCGACGACTTGGTGAGGTTGCACCACAGTCCTAGACCGACGAGTCCCTGGACTATCATATTGAACGCCCTTGTCGCGGCCGCCGGCTGGCCAATGACAGTGATGTCGTCTGCGTACGCCATCACTGTCGCGCCCGGGACTGCCATCGCCGCCTCCAACAGGGCCGGTTGTATGGCTGCAGCGAATAGCATGGGGCCGAGCGGGTCTCCTTGCCTGACGCCCCGGGCGCTGTCGATGGTGCTGACAGTGAAGCCTCTATCCAGTAGTAGTTTCGACGGCGTGCCATAGAGGGTTCTAGCGAATGGCAGCAGTGAGCTCAGTCCGCCGGTCCAAAGCAGTGTCGACAGAAAACTCCCACGTTCGACCGAATTAAAAGCGTTTTCAATATCGAGCTGTAATATCATGCGCGTCGGGTCCTCCGCCAGCAGCGTACGAGCCGTGTGTATTATGCACTCCGCTCCCCCCGGTACGGCCACGCCGTATTGTACTGGTAGGAAGTGTGAGCGAATTTCCCCTGACAGCTCCCGTAGCGCCGCCTTTGCCGTGAGTCTAAGGAGTGCCTCCCCGATCGCTATCGGTCTTACTCCCCCGTCAGGTTTTTCCAGTGCGATTAGCCTCGATGGTAGCAGCAGCTCCCTCAGCGGCGCGTCCTGGTACGTGCTGAGTAGGTTATTAACTATCTGGTGCAGCAGTAAGAATACCTCCCCGTTTGTTAGAGCAGGGTCCCGTAGGTGTTCGAAACAAGTGCCTGACGGGCCTGCTCCTATTCCGTTCGGGCACTTCGCCAGGATGTCGCGGAACGACTCTGTGCCAATAGCGAGTGCTGTTTCACCGTAACCCCCTAGCCCTTCCTGTATCGCCATCTCCGCTCGCGGGTGCTTCGCCCGGAGTGTTTCCAGTGCCTGTTGCAACGGCTCCGCCAACGGAGTGGTTCGTAATGCTGCCGCAGCTTTCGCCAGGTTGGCCTTCCGGACCAATCCCTCTACCCTTGCGCAGATGCCTTCTGCGTCAGGCTCGTGTCTGCTTGGCTGGGAAATGTCGGGGATTGTGCAGGCTTGGAGGTACAGTGAGCCCCACTCTTCATCTCGGAATTTTCGAAGTCTTTTCTTCACTGCGCCGAGGCTGTTTCCCGGAACTTTCTCTGTGCTCGCCCTCAGCGTAAGCTGAGGCAGGAATTGCAGCACCCTCCACGCGCCCATGCAGCCCGGATGTTTCGAGAGTCGCAGTAGGGGAATCGTTAGGCAGTGACTGTACGACTTCAGTTCTTCCGGGGGAAGTTTCCTGACCAAGAATGGTTGGGAACTGACTCGCAATGGGTCTAGGTCCCAACTCTCCACCGCCCGCCATGTGTCATCATCGTACGCGATGTCATTTGGTGAGCGCTCCTTGCTGGCAGATTCATTAGTCTGTTGGGCTGGTGATTCGCCCACCTGTCCAGCCCCGTTAAGATTATTTCCGTCGTGTCCTCGGCATCTGCCATGTCGCCGTCTACCCTCATTGCCAGCTGGGATCCCGTCTTCGGCCTCCACAGACACCTCCTCCGATTTAGCCTCTTCCTCTTCCATATATTCTGACTCTTCTTCCTCTGCAGTGACATTCATTGGTTCTCCATTCTCCTCCTCTAGCCTCCCATGCCGTTCCCGCCAATTTCCGGTTCTGGCTTTTTCTCTTGCTACGGATCTCACCAACCTCTCCACCCGTCCCCCCCTGCCCCGGCCCCTCCCGCGTCCCCGTGTGGCCGTGCGTCCCGCCGCGTTTTGCGGCTGCTGCCTCATCTCCCTCCCCTCCGCCCGCTCGCGTAAGGTCCTTTGCCTGCTAGTTTCATTCCTCCGACTTTGCCACGCTGCCGCCACCGTCGCTATCCCCTCTTCCCCCCTGTACTCGTTCTCCTCGAGATGCTCCGCCACACGATTTTCCTCTCCCTCACCTCCCTGTGCCTGCAGGCCCCGTGGCGATGACTGGCAAGCGTCAATCCTCCTCTCGGTCGGACCGCTTGGTTGGTTCTCCTGCTGCTCCCAGCCACTCACAGGCCCGGGGCGAGCTGGCGCCAGCCCTGCTCCGAGCCGCCGCTGCACTGGTCGCGCACGAGGAGGCCGGCTCCTCCCCCCGTCGTCACGAGCCAGTCTATCGCTCTCCCCGCGGGCGGACCCATCCACATCTCCGGGCTCGTGGCGGCTCCTTCCGACGTCGCCGTCCGCCTCGACACCGCTGTCCAGCGAGAGATTGTCGGGCCCCTGTGTCCGACGCGCAGTCATCGCCTCTTGGTGCCGACGCCGCGGCGTTGTCCATCAGCATCTCTCCAGTCGTCCCAGCAGCTATCGTCCGTGCCTGCTGAGTCGGCGCCGTCGACGCCATTGGCTCCTCCACCTCCTCCCGCCCTCCCGGTGGCTCAGTCTCCCCCGGCAGCGCGTGCGCCACCTCCTCCGGCTCCCCCGCCGCAGGCGGCCGCGGTTGGGGCACCTCTTGTGCTTCCTGCCGGGGTGCCGCCCACCCCGTCTGCAAGTTCCCCTGGTGATCCTCCTCAGCGGCTACATCCTCTGATTCCACTCGACCCCTCCCCTGTCGCTCGATTCCCTCCTCCTCGTTGCCATTCTCCTCCGCTTCCTCCCGACGCACCTGATCCTGAAGACGACGGGGCGTGGTGGAACGGCGATTCGCGGGAGTCTCCTCCCCAGTCCGGGACGTTGTGGGGTCGGGACTGGGACATCCGGTCCGATTTCGTTCTGGACGTGCTTCGCTGGGAGCGGCGCATGATCGTGGTTGGCGAGTGTCTCTCCCATGTTGCGACCGCACTGGAGCAGTTGCATGCTGGTCTGGAGGCGCGGAATCTAGTCCTCCGAGATCCCCAGCTGACGGAGCCCCAGCAGGGCCTTGTGCGTGAAGCTGCGGCGCAGGGTCTTTGGCGCCTCCTCCGTTTGCCTCTGGAGTCCGATCGCCCTGACGAGAACGAGGGGCCGGGCGCAAGGGCTTTCCGCAGGGTAGCCACGGCTGCCGAACAGGCTCCCCTCCAGCTTGTGCCCGCGCTCGCGTCCTTGCTCCGCTGGCTTCGGCGGCGGTTTTACGTGCTGAATCACGTGTGACAATCTGCCTTTGCTGGGCCTTGCCTTGTGCCTTGCCCTGTGCCTTGCCCTGTGCTTTCTTGTTCCCCATCTTCTCCCGCCCCCGGCTATCCTGCTTACCTTGGCCTCGTTGCTAGGGCCCTACTAGTGCTGCATGTTTGTATGGTGTGTTGTGTATCAATGCAGCTGTTGCCTTGCCACCCCTCACGCGCGGCCGAAGGCCGCGGTGTCCAGCGCCGGCCGCCTTCGGCGGCCGGCGCGAGCCGCCGATTTTTGCAGTGAGAATGAACTCCCCACCAAACAATGAGGAGGAGAATGGGCTCCTTGCCCTTATATACTAGGGAACTAGGCGGAAATGACTAAGGACTAGGCTAGGCTAAGGGTGTAGGCTAAAAATGACTAAGGACTAGGACCCAAGGGTCTCTCTCTCTCTCTCTCTCTCTCTCTCTCTCTCTCTCTCTCTCTCTCTCTCTCTCTCTATCTCTCTCTCTCTCTCTCTCTCTCTCTATTTCTCTCTCTCTCTCTCTCTCTCTCTCTCTCTCTCTCTCGCTCTCTCTCGAGCGAGCCGCCGATTTTTGCAGTGAGAATGAACTCCCCACCAAACAATGAGGAGGAGAATGGGCTCCTTGCCCTTATATACTAGGGAACTAGGTGGAAATGACTAAGGACTAGGCTAGGCTAAGGGTGTAGGCTAAAAATGACTAAGGACTAGGACCCAAGGGTCTCTCTCTCTCTCTCTCTCTCTCTCTCTCTCTCTCTCTCTCTCTCTCTCTCTAATGGTCCTTGTATTGATATAGCAGCAAGGTACAAGCATGCAATGTATGGATGTAACAAACAAACAAACAAAGCACCAATTCCTACTCACTATTCCCCTAGAGCTCCAAGATGGGCTCTACCACCGCAAAACAGTCCCCTAGGCGTAACTCTTGACCAATACCCCCTACAGGCGGGTTCTCTGCTGCTGCCGCCTCGCCCAACTTGAGTAGAAGACCCACTGATTGGGCCCTCTGAAGGGCCACTGACCATCGCTGCCGAAACTGGTGCAGGAACTTGGCGGCATAAAAGGATTTAGAGTCGGCGTTAAAGTGGCGCCGAGCCGCCGTGTCTGCAAGTAGCTTCAGGAAGGTTGGTACTTCCGCGCATGGGCAGCCATAGGTGTCGACTGCCAATGGGAAGAAGCCAACCGTCTCCGGCCGGTTGGCGTAATGCTGGATTTTCTTATCCGCTTGTTCCCGTGCCACCCATCCCCTGCCTTTCTGCGCCTCTGGGTCCCTCGTGCTTATGGGGTCCGTGATGGTGACATCACAGACATAAACCGCCCCACTGCTTCTATCCGTCATGGTAAAGTCGGCGGTTTGTTCCTCGATAGGGCAATGGGCGGCCGACTCGCCGTGAACAATGAAACCTGCGTGCTGCGCCATGCTAATGCACGCATCCCGTAGCTCGTTGTGGGTGTTGATGCGGTGTTTGCCCAAGCCGCAGCGGAGGAGATGGTTCGGCAGGCGGGGATCAGTGATGGCGGTCTTGTCCGCGCAGTCGCAGTTCTTAGGGGTTGAAAAGAGGAGGGCCAGGCGGAATCAAACGGCGTTGGCGAAGTGTACGGGGCCTACCCGTCTGGTGGGTTCAATGGGGATCGCGGTCAGCCAATCGCTGGTGCCATACCCTGTCAGCGAAAACATACGCTGCGTATGGCCTGAGAGTGGGTTCAGCCGCATGCGCCTGGTTGCCTGGACCTGTACAGCGTATCTGCTTCCGTGCACCTTTAGCCCGAGCACATGTTGTAGCCTAATATCCGATCGCTCCAGCCGCTCCTTCTCCAGGATCTCGCGCGCATCTAGTGGCAGAGCCGCTTCGCACTCCTTGAGCCAAGAATGCATCGGCGTGCTGTCGTCTCTTGGCAGCAGCATGTGGTTCTGAGCGATCGTCAAAGCATTCTCCGGTGCTAGCGCCAGGGAGGACAAGAACAGCGCCGCTTGAGTGAAACTCGCTGTGAAACCGTAGATCCCTTCAACGAGCGGGTCTGTAATGCCGATGCCACCCAGCGATGTGGGCAGCGACGCCTGCTCCCACACACGCGCTTGCTCGGTGCGGCACGTTGGCATGCGGATGTCGCAGGAGGTGAGTAAGGTAGTGAGCAGGTCCCGACCCCACTGGCTCCAGGTGTCGCGGGGGAGTAGGTGGAGCGGTGTCGTTCTAATGAGGTAGGCTACTCGTCTAGAAATGCATCGCGTGAGTAGCAGCGCGGCTACTTGGGGGTCAGCTCGTTCTATTAGAGGCAGCGGCTTTGTCATCTCGGCTAGCTGTTCGGTTAGGAACTTAGCTGCTCCGGCGTCCGTCCCCATGTAGCTACCCAAGAGCCGTACCCCGTCCTTTGAAACCGGCACCCCGGGTGGGAGTTGTGCTTGTGTGACTGTGATCGAGCTCCAAGCCGCACAATTCTGCGGATTATGCGTCAGGCCCAGGCGTGCCAGCTTGGCTGTGAAGTCTGTGAAAGCTGCTACAGTGCACGAAGTGTCACCCAGGAAGGTGACATCGTCCGCATACGCCAAGCAGAGCACGTTGGGGTGTGCCTCTGTAATCTCACAGAGCGTGGGGTGTATTCCCGCTGCAAACAGTAACGGGCCTAGTGGATCTCCCTGCCGAACGCCCCGTTCACTTTGCAGCGGTTCGCAGTTGAAATCAGTGTCAAGGAACAGCTGCGACGGGTTACCGTAAGTCAGTTTTACAAATGGCTGTAGTGGCGAGAGTCCGGGCTCCTGTAACGCAGTGGCGATGGCACGTCGCAAAATGCTGTTGAATGCATTCGAAATATTGGCTTGGAGGACCAGGCTGTCAAGACGGGCATCCAAGAATGCCCTGGCTGCGTGTATTACCGCCTCTGCTCCACCTGGCACTGCCACGCTGTACTGAATTGGCAGGAAATGTTCGCGGGCAGCTTCTCCCATGGCTATCAGGGCTGCCTTGGCTGTCAGCCTTGTCAAACATTCGCCTATCGCGATTGGCCGGGCTCCTCCCCCAGGCTTGGCCAGAGCTATGAGCCGTGACGCAGTCAGGATTTTTGCGACCGGGCCTAGCAAATTCCCTCCGAGCATGGTATTGACCAAGGCGTGCAGATGGGTACTGACCATTCCGTTGGTGATCGCCGCGTCGCGTAGGTGCTCAAATGTCGTACCTGAAGGTCCGGCCCCCACCCCGTTCTCGCACCTTCCAAGAATCTTGGCGAACTCAGCATGGGTGATGGACGGTTTTGACTCTGGTGGCTCGGGCCAGGTCACTGCTTCGGGTACTACTCGCGGGTGCTTCTGACGCAGCTCTTCCAATATTTCCTGGCTCGGGGTGCAGACGGGTGTTGACTCCAGGGCCAGCACGGCCCTGCGTAGGCTGCCACGTTTCGCTAGGCCCTCAGCTCGGCTGATGACTCCGGTCGTGTCAGGCTGGTGTCGTGGCGGTGGGGGTGTGTTGACCGCGTCGACCGCGTCCTGGTACAGCTGCCCCCATTCGCCGCGCTGAAAGGCTCGGAGCCGGGCTTTGACCCCCGGCCAGTTCGGTCATTGTGGCGAGGTCTGGCGAAGTGTTAGGCGCGGGAGGAACAGCAACAGGTGCCAACCCTCCTCGGATTCGGGGTTTCGCGATAGGTGGAGTAACGGTGTCAGTAGCGCCAGCGAGAACAGTTGGCATAGATTAGGCGGTAAACGGCGTGTCAGCGAAGGCTGGCGACTGTCGCAGAGTGCCACGATGTCCCAGCTCGAGATGGTTGCGAACAGGTCTGCTCGCTTCGCCAGTTCGTCAGGGGAAAAATAGCGGGGAGTCGGAGTGGTTTGGCGCGTCGCGACATTGGTAGTAGCGGTCCGATTTCGTCGAGCGCGGCCCGTCCGCCCTGGCAGGATTGGGGTTGGAATTTCACCCATTCGATTGACATCGGACGGTCGCTGATCCGCCTGTGCTGCTTGCGTGGCCGAGAGCCCTACCCTCGCTACTCCTCTTCCCGCTGCCTCCCTTGTACTGCCTTCGTCCTCGATCCCCTCGTCTTCGCTTGGAGGGAGGGATTCTTCCCTATAAGATGGGTCCCTTAACTTTTCATCCTCATTAGTTGCCTCCAGAGCCGTTAAAGCCCTACGCCCCGCCGCTTGATACCCGTTTTCCGGACCTCCGCCTGTACCGCTCGTAACCTGCCTCCTGGCCCCGCTGCCTCCCCGCTCTCCAGATGGTGATTGCTGGTGCATCTGAGCCATCGCCAGTGCGCGCTGCCGCTTGGTCGGCTGTGGTCGCCCAGCCTCAGTCGGGGCCCGGAAAGGCGACCATGCCGACGGAGCCCTCTGTACCGCCGGCTCCGACACCCTCGACAACAGTCGCTGAAAAGACTCTTCCCCACGCACCCGCGGATCCCCTTGCCGTGTCGGGGGCTGGCCCGTCTGTTCCCGCGGCTGCTCCGTCCACTCCGCCGGCTGCTCCTGTTCCCCTGGCCCTCTTTGTCGAGCCGTTGGTGCCTGCTCCTGCTGGGGGTGTTGCTGATCCCCCAGTTCTTGTCCCTTGCGCGCCCGTTGCACCGCCTGCTTCCGTCCCCGACGCGCCTGTACCGGCTTCTGTTTCGTCGACAAAAGCGGCGTCCGCCACCACTGGCGGCCCGGCTCCGTCGGTTGCGCCCTCAGTGGCGGGGCAATCCGCGCCTGCTGTGGCGCCGGTGGCCCCGGCAGGTCAGCCGTTACGTCTCCCGTCGCCTGACCGCCGACCGTCTCGCCCTCATTCCCCCTCGCCCCACCAGGATCGCAAGTCGTCTCGTCGCCGTCGTGATTCTCCGCGGCGATACCAGCATCAGCCTCACTGGCCTGCTCGCCCCGGTGGTCAGGGGGACTGGAGGGGTCCCCGCGGGCGCGGTGGTGGTGGGGGGTACCGCCCGCCGGTGACGATGGCAGATCTTCAGCGGGAAGTGTCGAGGGCGGTACGTAAGGAGAGGGTGTCGCAGAGCCAGAGCAGTTCGATGCGCGCCTTGCCGGCCCAAGAGGCTCCACGCCAGCCTGTGCTCCCGTCGAGTCCACCGCCTGTTGCTGCACCCCCTCCTCAGGTTCACATCCCAACGGCTCCTGCTCCTGCTGCGTCCGCGCCCGCCTCTGGAGCGCGTCTTCGCTTGCCGCCGGTTCCGCCTGTTGCGGGGGTGGAATTTGCGGCCGCTGGTGGCGGCGCGTTTGCGACGCAGTATTCGCATCCCGCTGATGAGGATCAGCCGCTCCTGTTCCTAGCGGAGGCGCTTCAGCCTCCGCAGACTCGTGTTCTGGAGGCAACACTTGGCCAACTCCATCGCTCGCTGAGAGTCTTCACGCGATGCTGCTGATTCAGGTGGTTGCACATTCGTCTCTCCCCGTAATCCCTTTTGAGTCATTCCGTGGCCGCCAGGGTGACACCTGCCTGGACGCGGCAGACCAGCTCACGGTGCTCCTGGCGCCCGTGCTGGCTGCGCCCGCGGAGGGAGGCGCTGCTGCTGCGGGACAGCTTGACGAGGCTGTCCGGGGCCTGAGGCGGCAGTTGCGCGCTGGATCCGGTCGCAACGGCATACAAGCGATCGGCGCAAGCACGCTTGTGGTCCGGGAGCTGTGGCGCTCCCTGACGGGCGTTCTTCACGCCCTTGGAGCGCACCGCATGTAGGCGCGGGCTCCGGTTGCCCCATGGTCGCTTCACTTGTCTAGGCTGACGTAGGGAATGCCATCGCTTGTATGCCGTTGCTTATAGTCACTCTTGTGCGTGTTCCTTTGCCGTCCCCTCACGCGCGGCCGAAGGCCGCGCTGTCGAGCATCGGCCGCCGAAGACGGCCGGCGCGAGCGAAAAATTCTGAACTCACCCAAAAATGAGGAGAACAGGCCAGGAAGGCCTCTTAAGTAGCTCACAGAGGAGAGGGCAGAGGGCAAAGGGAGAGGGCAGAGGCTAGGTGTCTCTCTCTCTCTCGCTCTCTCGAACGAGCGAAAAAATCTGAACCCACCCAACAATGAGGAGAAGAGGCCAGGAAGGCCTCTTAAGTAGCTCACAGAGGAGAGGGCAGAGGGCAAAGGGAGAGGGCAGAGGCTAGGTGTCTCTGTCTCTCTCTCTCTCTCGCTCTCTCAAACGAGCGAAAAATTCTGAACCCACCCAACAATGAGGAGAAGAGGCCAGGAAGGCCTCTTAAGTAGCTCACAGAGGAGAGGGCAGAGGGCAAAGGGAGAGGGCAGAGGCTAGGTGTCTCTCTCTCTCTCGCTCTCTCGAACGAGCGAAAAATTCTGAACCCACCCAACAATGAGGAGAAGAGGCCAGGAAGGCCTCTTAAGTAGCTCACAGAGGAGAGGGCAGAGGGCAAAGGGAGAGGGCAGAGGCTAGGTGTCTCTCTCTCTCGCTCTCTCGAACGAGCGAAAAATTCTGAACCCACCCAACAATGAGGAGAAGAGGCCAGGAAGGCCTCTTAAGTAGCTCACAGAGGAGAGGGCAGAGGGCAAAGGGAGAGGGCAGAGGCTAGGTATCTCTCTCTCTCTCTCTCGCTCTCTCGAACGAGCGAAAAATTCTGAACCCACCCAACAATGAGGAGAAGAGGCCAGGAAGGCCTCTTAAGTAGCTCACAGAGGAGAGGGCAGAGGGCAAAGGGAGAGGGCAGAGGCTAGGTGTCTCTCTCTCTCTCTCTCTCTCTCTCTCTCTCTCTCTCTCTCTCTCTCTCTCTCTCTCTCTTTCTCTCTCTCTCTCTCTCTCTCTCTCTCTCTCTCTTCCTCTCTCTCTAATGGTCCGTGTATTGATAGTAGTTGAAAGTACACACATGCAAGGTAGAAAGCAAGCAAATGAAAACACAGAGCAACATCACCTAAGCCTCTACTGCTATCCCCACCCTACTGCCCCGCTCCAGAGCTCCAGGAGTGGTTCCACCACTGCAAAACAGTCCCCCAGGTGCAGCTCATGCCCAATGCCCCCCACCGGAGGGTTCTCAGCCGCCGCCGCCTCACCCAACTTCATTAGAAGCCCCACGGATTGGGCCCGTTGCAGGGCCGCGGACCAACGCTGCCGGAACTGGTGCAAGAACTTGGCGGCATGGAAAGATTTGGAGTCGGCGTTGAAGTGCCGCCGAGCCGCCGAGTTTGCAAGGAGCTTCAGGAATACGGGAACCTCAGCACATGGGCAGCCGTAAGTGTCTACTGCCAGGGGGAAGAAGCCAACCGTCTCTGGGCGGTTGGCGTAGTGCTTGATCTTCTTGTCGGCCTGCTCTCGTGCCGCCCACCCCCTGCCTTTCTGAGCCTCAGGGTCCCTAGTGCTAATAGGGTCGGTGACAGTGACGTCACAGATGTAAACCGCTCCACTGCTTCTGTCCGACATTGTGAAATCCGCCGTTTGTTCCTCGATGGGGCAGTAGGCGGTTGAATCCCGATGGACTACGAAGCCCGCATCCTGTGCCATGCTAACGCATGCATCCCGCAGCTCATTGTGAGTGTTTGTGCGGTGCTTGCCCGTGCCGCAGCGGAGCAGGTGGTTTGGGAGCCGGGGGTCAGTGATGGCCGTGTGCTCCGAGCAGTCGCAGTTCTTGGGAGTAGAAAACGGCAGCGCAAGGCGGAAGCGTACAGCATTGGTGAAATGCACTGGCCCTATCCGCCTTGTGGGAGCTACTGGGATCGCCGTGATCCAGTCGCCGGTGCCGTAGCCAGTCAGAGAATACATCCGCTGCGTGTGTCCGGCGAGCGGGTTCAGCCTCATGCGCCTCGTCGCTTGCACCTGCACGGCATACCTACTCCCGTGCACCTTCAGTCCGAGCACGTGTTGGAGCCGGATGTCAGAGCGTTCCAGCCGCTCCTTTTCTAATATCTCCCGAGCGTCTGTTGGTAGTGCCTCCTCACACCCCGTCAGCCAAGTGTGCAGTGGCGTGCTGATGTCCCGCGGCAGGAGCATATGATTCCGGGCCAGCGTAAGCGCGGTCTCCTCTCCCAGCGAGAGTTTGTTGAGAAAGAGCGCCGCCTGGGTAAAGCTCGCCGCGAAGCCGTAAATCCCCTCGATGAGGGGGTTCGTAATACCGAGACCTCCCAGTGAAGGGGGTAGCGACGCCTACTCCCAGACCCGTGTTTGCTCTGTCCTGCAGGTCGGCATGCGGATGTCACAAGCGGTAAGAAGCGTGGTGAGCAGGTCCATACCCCACTGGCTCCATCTGTCGTGGGGGAGTAGGTTTAGGGGCGTCGTCCTTGTGAGGTATGCGACCCGCCTCGAAATGCAGCGCGTGATGAGCAGTGCCGCTACCTGTGGGTCTGTTTGTTCGATGAGTGTTAGCGGCTTCGCCATGTCGTCTAGCTGTCCCGCTAGGAAAGTCGCCGCGCCGCTATCAGGCCCTATGAAGCTGCCTAGCAGTTGCGTGCCGTCCTTTGAGAACGGCACCCCTGGAGGTAGGTGGGTTGCTTGGACTGCATTCGAGCTCCAGGCTGCGCACTTTTGTGGGTTGTGCTCGAGCCCCAGTAGTGACAAAGTGCTTGTGAAATGGGTAAATGCTGCTACTGTGTCTTCAATGTCCCCTATGAATGTCACGTCGTCCACATAAGCCAAACAAAGTACACCAGCGTGAGCCTCTGCAGTGTCGCGAAGCGTGGCATGTATCCCTGCCGCAAACAATAGCGGGCCAAGTGGGTCCCCCTGGCGGACCCCGCGTTCGCTATGCAATGGTTCGGAGTTGTAGTTGGAATCCAGGTACAGCTGCGACGGGTTACCGTAGGTTAATTTGACGAGTGGCAGGAGTGGCGAGAGTTCGGGAGCATGTAACGTAGTGGCGATGGCTTGTCGCGAAATACTGTTGAATGCGTTCTTGATGTCAGCTTGCAGAACTAGACTGGTGGGGCGTGCATGCAGGAAAGCTCTGGCCGCATGGATTACTGTCTCGGCGCCACCTGGCACTGCCACGCCATACTGTAGTGGGAGGAAGAACTCGCGGGCAGCTTCGCCCATCACTGTCACGGCTGCCTTGGCTGCCAGCCTTGTCAAGCACTCGCCGATCGCGATTGGCCGAGCGCCACCCCCCGGCTTGGCCAAAGCAATGAGGCGTGATGCGGTCAGGAGGTTTGCCACCGAGCCTGGCAAATTTCCTCCCAAGATGGTGTTAACCAAGGCGTGCAGATGGGTGCGAACCGACGCATTTGTGATAGACGCGTCGCGCAAGTGCTCGAATGTCATCCCCGAAGGCCCGGCTCCAACTCCATTTTCGCACCTGCCCAACATTTTGGCGAAATCCGCGTGGGCGATTGAAAGTGTTGACCCACGCGGAGTCGGCCAGATCACCCCCTCGCTTGCTGCAGGTGGGTGCTTTTGACGCAGCTCCTCCAGGATTTCGGGGCTGGGGGTGCAGACGGGGGTTGACTCTAGGGCGAGGACGGCCCGTCGAAGACTGCCACGTTTCGCCAGACCCTCAGCCCGGCTGATCACACCTGTCGCATCGGGCCTGTGTCGCGGCGGAGGTGGCATGTTGACTGCGTCAACCGTGTCCAGGTACAATGTCTCCCATTCGCCCCGCTGGAAGGCTCGGAGCCGGGCTTTGATTTTCGGCCAATCCGGGCGTTCTGGCGAGGTTTGGCGAAGGGTTAGGCGCGAGAGAAATAACAGCAGGCGCCATCCTGTCTCTGACTCGGGATTTCGCGAGAGGTGGAGTAACGGCGTCAGTAGCGCCAGCGAGAACAGCTGACACAGATTTGGCGGTAAGCGCCGCGACAGCGATGGCTGACGACTGTCGTACAGAGCCGTGATGTCCCAAGTACCAATGGCAGCGAACAGGTCTGTTCGCTTTGCCAGTTCGTCAGGCGAAAAATAGCGGGGGTTCGGAGCGGCTGAGCGCGTCGCCTCCCCAATGTTCGCTTGCCGATTTCCTCTAGGACGACCCGCTCGCGCCCGGGAAGCGGAGGTTGGAAGCTCCTTTGTCCGATCGGCATCGAGCGGTGGGCGTGTCTCCTGGGGCATGTCCAGGCGTGCTTGCTCCTCCACTGCTTCCCTTCTCCCAGAGTTTTCCCTTGCCCCACCTTCCTCTTCCTCCGTCTCTTCATCCTCGCTATTGGGCGATGCTTCTTCCCTATAAGAGGGATCCTGCTGTTTGTCGTCCTCATTAGTCATATCTAGGTTGGTTAAAGCTACTCTTGCCGCTGCCTGGTACCCGTTCTCTGGACCTCCGCCAACCCCGCTTGCCGCTAGCCGTTCCGTCCCTCGACTTCCCCGCGCTTGAGATGGTGATTGCTGGTGCTGACGGGCCGTCGCCAGAGCGCGCTGCCGCCTGGTCGGCTGTCGTCGCCAAGCCTTAGTCGGGGCCCGAAAAGGCGACCACGGCTCCGAAGCCTCCTCTACCACCGGCTCCGAAACCCGCGACAGCAGACGCTGAAAAGACTCCCCCCCCCGCACACGCGGCTCCCCTTGGCGTGGACGAGGCAGGCCCGTCTGCTCCTGTTGAAGCTCCGACCGCTCCGCCTGCTGCTCCTGCTCCTGTGCTCCTGGCTCCCGTGATTGCGCCTGTGGCGTCTGCGCCTGCTGGGGATGCTGCCGCTCACTCCGATCCTGCTCTTGGCGTGGTCGTTGCACAGGCCGCTTCAGTCCCCGACGTGCCTGCGCCGGCGTCTGCTTCTTCCCCGAAGGCGGCGTCCGCCACCACTGTCGACCCGGCTCCGATGGTGGCGCCTCCTGGCGCGGACCCTGTGGCTCCCGCTCTGCTGCCGGTGGCCCCTGTAGTGCCGCCGTCTCGTCCCCCGTCGCCGGACCGTCGTCTATCCCGCCCCCATTCTCCCGCACCCCAACAGGAGCGGGAGACGTCGCGGCGCCGGCGCAACTCTCCCCGGCGCTATCAGCAGCAGGCCAAGTGGCCTGCTCATCCTGGCAACAATGGGGGCTGGAGGGGCCCCCACGGGCGTGGTGGTGGCGGGAGGTACCGTCCGCCAGTGACAATGGCGGATCTCCAGCGGGAGGTGTCGCGGGCCGTGCGCCAGGAGAGGGTGGCGCAGAGTCAAAGCAGTTTGCTGCGGGCTACGCCGGCGCCTGTGGCTCCTCGTCAAGCTGAGCCTCGTGTGGCCCCTCCGCCGGCTGCTGCATTTCCTCCTCCTGTCCTCGCCCCATCGGCTCCATCTCCTTCTGTCTCGGCGCCTGCTCCCGGCTCCCGTCTGCATTTGCCACCGGTCCCACCTGTTGCGGGGGTGGAGTTTGTGGCCGTGGGTGGTGGCGCTGCGGCTCAGCATTCCCACCACGTTGCTGCTGATGAGCCGCTGTTGTTTCTGACGGAGGCGCTGCAGCCCCCGTAGACGCGTGTTCCAGAGGCGACACTTGGCCAGCTCCACCGTCTCGCGGAGAGCCTCCACGCGTTGCTGCTGATTCAAGTTCTCGCTCATTCATCTCTCCCCGTGATTCCTCCGGAGACTTTCCGCGGCCGCCAGCGTGACACGTGCTTGGACGCGGCGGACCAGCTCGCTTCGTTGCTGGAGCCCGTGTTGGCTGCGCCCGCGGAGGGTGGCGCTGCTGCTGCGGGACAGCTTGACGAAGCTGTCCGGGGCCTGAGGCAGCACTTGCGCGCGGGATCTGGAGCCGCGGCGATCGGCGCAAGCACACTTGTGGTCCGAGAGCTGTGGCGCTCCCTGACGGGCGTTCTCCACGCCCTTGGGGCTCACCGCATGTAGATGCGGGCTCCGACTGCCCCGTTGATGCCATGTTTGCCTAGAATGATATAGCGCTTGCCATTGCTTGTAATCCTTTGCTAGTATTTCTTGTGTCGGTGACTCTTGCCGTCCCCTCTCGCGAGCGAAAATTTTACTGCCGCCACACAATGAAGAAGAGAGGCCAAGAAGGCCCCTTTATATAGCTAGAAGGCCAAGGTCAGAGGGCTGAGGGCAGAGGGCAGAGGGCAGAGGCTAGGGTCCTCTCTCTCTCTCTCTCTCTCTCTCTCTCTCTCTCTCTCTCTCTCTCTCTCTCTCTCTCTCTCTCTCTCTCTCTCTCTCTCTCTCTCTCTCTCGCTCGGCGAAAATTTTACTGCCGCCACACAATGAAGAAGAGAGGCCAAGAAGGCCCCTTTATATAGCTAGAAGGCCAAGGTCAGAGGGCTGAGGGCAGAGGGCAGAGGCTAGGGTCGTCTCTCTCTCTCTCTCTCTCTCTCTCTCTCTCTCTCTCTCTCTCTCTCTCTCTCTCTCTCTTTCTGTCTCTCTCTCTCTCTCTCTCGTACAGTCCTTTGTATTGATATAGAAATGAGAAAACAGCAAAGGCAAGCAAGCAATCAACAAACATGTATGTCTAACTATTCTCTTCCCTACCCCTTCCCCCCCCCCCCCCCCCCCCCCCCCCAAGTCTTCTACTCACTACTATTGCCCGGTTCTAGGGTAGCAAAGCACTCCCCTAGGTCTAGGACCCGCTTGGGGCCTCCTAAGGCAGGGTTCTCCTTCTGGGCTGCAAGGTTCAGTTTGATGAGGAAGCTCACAGCCTGTGCCCTCTGCAAGGCGACAGACCACCGCTGGCGGAACTGGTGTAGCAGCTTTGCGACCTGGTAAGTTGTGGGGTCTGCGCTGAAGTGCAAGCGTGCTGCTCTGTCCGCCAGGTGCTTCAGGAAAGCTTGTACCTCGTCACATGGGCAGCCATAGGTCTCGACTGCCAGAGGGTAAAAGCCTGCAAATTCAGCCCTGCCGCGGTATAGCCCTATTTTCTTATCTGCTGCCTCCCTTGCTGCCCATCCCCTTCCCTTCCTGGCAGTCTCGTCCCTTTTGCTGATAGGGTCGGTGATGGTTATGTCACCCAGCCACACCGCCCCACTGCTTATGTCCCAAATAGCCAGGTCGGCCTTTTTGTTGTCCACTGGGCTAAACGTCGTACTCTCCTTGTGCACAATGAACCCGGCGTCCTGAGCCATACGCACACACTCGTCCCGCAGCTCATTGTGTGTGTTGGTCCGTCCGTGCCCTGTGCCGCAGCGGAGGAGGTGGTTGGGGAGGCGCTTGTCTGCTATGGCGACTCCATCTGTGCAGTCGCAGTTGTTACGGACGGGGAGAGGCAGTCCTAGGCGGAACTGGAGGGCGAACGAGAAGTGGTCGGGATCGAGGCGCAGGGAGGGCATGTAGGGGATGGCTATCAGCCAGTCCCCTGCACCATAGCCTGTGAGGGACAAGAGCCGCTGAGTGTGGCCGCATAGGGGGTTCAGGTCCATACGCCGTGATGCTGCAACTTGAGCGGCACTGCGTCCGCCCTGGACCAGGAGGGCAAGGCGATGCTGCAGCTGTCCCTTGGGTGCTGCCGTTTCTGCCGCCAGCAGGTCTCGTCCCTCCTGTGTGAGGCTTGCTTTACATTCCCCGAGCTAGGCTTGCAGTTGGTTTGGGTCCGGGTCCACCTCCTCTGTCCAGTTCAGGGCGGTGGAGAGGTGAGCCCCGGTGGGGCCGGGCAGGGAGGCAAGGAGTCCATGCGCCTGGACGAAGCTTGCCAGGTAGCTGTAGCGCCCTTCAACCACTGGGTCCGCCAGCCCCAGGCCTCCCAGGCCTGGGGGGAGGGAAGCCTGGTCCCACACGCGTCGTCCCTCCGCTTCCCCCCTCGGGTGGCGCACGCCGCAGGTGTCGAGCAGTGTGTGGAGCAGCGCCTGGCCCCACCGTGACCATTCTTCCTTGGGCAGAAGGTTGAGTGGGGTTGTGCGCGCGAGGTATAACATCCGCCTCGAGACGCACCTCGTAAGCAGCAGTGACGTTGTCTGCGGATCCAGGTCGGCTATCTGCGGGAGTGGGGTAGTCATGGCTTGCAGCTGTGTCCGAATAAAGGCGGCTGCTCCATTTGGCGCACCGATGAAACTGCCCCGAACACGCAGCCCGTTGGGGCAGAATGGGACCCCAGCTGGCAAGGCCACCTCTGGTGGTCGGACTGCGCTCCACGCTGCACATTTCCCCGCGTTGTGCTTGAGCCCCATGCTACGGAGACTGCACGTGAAGTGATTGAACTCCGCTGTACACTCCGCCACTTTCCCCAGGAACGTGACTTTGTCAGCGAATGCGAGGCAGAGTACGGTCGGGAAGGCGGCTGCGGTCGCGGCGAGGGACGGGTGGATACCCGCGGCGAAGAGCAAGGGCCCGAGTGGATCGCCCTGGCGGACCCCCGTAATGCTGGATATGGGAGGGCTATTAAAGCCTGCGTCGAGAAATAGCTCGGATGGCGTGCCGTAAGAGGAGTAAACTAGGGGGAGGATCCCTTCTAGCGTACTTCCGCGTAGGCCTGCTACGATTGCCTCGCGACTGATGCTATCAAAGGCATTTGAGAGATTCGCCTGAAGAATCGTCGCGTCACTATGCGTGCTCATGTACAATCTGGCAGTGTGGATTTTGCTGATAGGGCCGATTTTGCCGCTAGGCGTAGGACGCACTCTCCTACTGCTATGGGGCGAGTGCCTCCTTCTGGCTTGGCGAGGGCGATGAGGCGAGAGGCTGTAAGTAGCGAGCAGGTTTCCTTTAGAAGTGGCCTCTGGAGGATGGTGCTAACGAGATCGTGGAGGTGGGTGGTAACGGCTGTGTTGGCGATAGCTGCATCCCTGAGGTGTTCAAACGTCATCCCAGACGGACCTCCCCCTACTCCGTTTTCGCAGCAGCTTATGATTTTCGCGAATGCAGCTGAGGTGATGGTTGACACGTGCGACTTTTCAGGTGGGGTCCAGTCGATGTGGCCATGTGGTGCAGGTGGGTGCTTTGCTTTGAGTGATTCCAGGGTTTCGGGCGTTGGATCTGCCACAGGTGTAGATTCGAGGGCTAGGATAGCCCGCCGAAGGTTGCTCTTTCGAACAACTCCCTCTGCTCTGGCGCGCTTTCCCAACTCGTCCGGCTGGTGACGTGGCGCTGGATGGGGTGTTGATCGGTGCCACAGCTGCCTCGTACAGCTGCTCCCATTCGCCTTTGAAAAACTGACGAAGTCGCAACGTCACTGCGGGCCAATCCGGCTTCCTTGGTTTCGCCTGGCGAAGGATTAGGCGGGGAATAAAGAGTAATAGGCGCCAGCCCGGTACTGAGTCAGGGTGGCGTGCGAGGTGCAGTAGGGGTGTCAGCAACGCGTTTGCAAAGCTGGTGCGGATGTCGTGCGGTATTTTGCGGGAGAGGGGGGGCTGACGACTGTCGCGTAGTGGTGTCAGGTCCTAGGTGCGAATTTCGTTGAAGCGGATAGTGTCCTTCGCCAACTGTTCTGGCGAGAATTGGCGTGTTGATGGTGCGGTAGTGGGGGGGTCATCTGGGTTTGATTCCCCCCCAATTCCAACTGGCGCAGATGCGGCTCGGCCTCGTGTTGCAAAATTCCTTCGACTCTTGCCTCCTGGGCATGCTTCTGCTTCCTCCCCACCACCACTTCCTTCAGTAGACGATTCAGTTGCCAGCTCTGCTGGGTGGCCGATAAAGGTGGGGTCTTGTGCTTCTTCTGATTCATTAGTCTCGGTGTCGTTCTCATCAGCTTTGTTTAAAGCTAGCCTTGCCGCCCTTTGGAAGCCGTTCTCCCGTCCTCGGCCCCGGCCTCTCCCCGCAGCTCTCTGCCGCCCGCCTCTGCCGCCTCGTAATGCCTGTGGCGATTGGTGGCGGTTCACCGCCGCCGTATTCGCCGTGCCCCTTTGGCGTGTGAATCCCGCATGCCATGATGGGGTCTGTCACAGTTACATCAGCACATGCCTATTGATAATGGTCATAGGATACAAGCATGGCATGAGTAGTTTGGCATACATGCTGTCACAGTTACATCACACACCCAAACCGCCCCGCTGCTCTTGTCGGTCATGGTGAAATCGGCCGTCTGCTCCTCGATGGGACAATGGGCGGCCGACTCGCTGTGGACTATGAATCCCGCATCCTGAGCCATGCTAATGCATGCATCCCGGAGCTCGTTGTGGGTGTTGATGCGATGCTTGCCGGTGCCACAGTGAAGGAGGTGATTTGGGAGGCGGGGGTCCGTGATTTCGACGTGGTCCACGCAGTCACAGTTCTTGGAAGTGGAGAAGGGCAATCCGAGCCGGAATCTGACCGCATTGGCGAAGTGTACCGGTCCAATGCGCCTTGTCGGAGCTATGGGTATCGCTATCAGCCAGTCCCCCATGCCATAGCCCGTTAGAGAAAACATCCGCTGCGTGTGGCCTGCAAGCGGATTCGGCTGCATGTTCCTCGTCTCCTGAACTTGCACCGCGTAGCGACTACCGTGGACCTGGAGAGCGAGGGCATGCTGCAACTTCATGTCCGTCCGTTCCAGTCGTTCCCGATCCAGCAACTCTCGCGCGTCAGAAGGCAGGGCGGTTTCGCACTCAGCGAGCCAGGAGTGGAATGGCGTGCTCTCGTCTCTTGGCAGGAGCATATGGCCGCGTGCGCGAGACAGTGCAGAGTCTGGGGCTAGAGCGAGCGTGGAAAAAAGCAGCGCCGCCTGTGTGAAGCTTGCGACGAAACCGTAGACTCCCTCGATGAGAGGGTCTGTGACGCCCACTCCCCCAAGTGAGGGAGGAAGGGACGCCTGAGCCCACACGCGCGACTGTTCTGCTCTACCCGCCGGAACACGTATGTTGCACGAGGTGAGCAGCGCTGTTAGGAGGTCGCAGCCCCACTGGGTCCACGTATCTCGGGAGACGAGGTTGAGTGGGGTCGTCCGGGTGAGATAAGCCACGCGCCGAGAGATGCAGCGCGTGATCAGCAGTGAAGCGACTTGCGGGTCGGCCCGCTCGATGAGTGGCAATGGTTTCGCCATCTCCCCTAGTTGCCCTGCCAAGAAAGTGGCTGCCCCGTCGGCCGCTCCAATAAAACTGCCCAACAGCCGAACGCCGTCCTTGCAGAACGGGACCCCTGGCGGCAGCTCAGTTGAATCAAGCGTGTTTGCACTCCATGCTGTACACTTTTGCGGGTTGTGTTTCAAGCCCAGCAATTCCAACCTCGTGGTGAAGTGGTTGAAGGTAGCTACAGTTGCACGTGGTTCACCCACGAATGTCACGTCGTCCGCATACGCCAAACAAAGCACATCAGGGTGTGCTGCTGCAGTGTCGCGAAGTGTGGGGTGGATTCCCACCGCAAAAAGGAGTGGGCCCAGTGGATCGCCCTGGCAAACGCCCCATTCACTACGCAGGGGTTCGCTCGCAAAGTTCGAATCCAGGTGCAGCTGCGATGGGTTACCGTAGGTCAGGCGAACCAGTGGTAGTAGCGTCGACAGGGTGGGTTCTTGTAACGCAGCTGCGATGGACTGTCGCGAAATGCTGTTGAAAGCATTCGCAATGTCGGTCTGCAGTACCAGGCTGTTCAGGTGGCCGTCCACGTACGTTCGGGCGGCATGTATTATCGCTTCCGCCCCTCCTGGCACCGCCACGCCGTACTGTAGGGGTAGGAAGTGTTCACGTGCAGCTTCGCCCATGACCGAGAGCGCAGCCTTGGCAGCCAGACGCGTCAGGCATTCGCCGATCGCGATTGGTCGGGCACCTCCTCCAGGCTTGGTTAGGGCTATGAGTCGAGATGCTGTGAGCAGGTCCGCCACCAAGGCTGGGAGGTTTCCCCCCAGAATTGTGTTTACCAGGGCATGCAGATGGGTGCTGACGGATGCATTGGTTACTGCCGCGTCGCGAAGATGCTCAAATGTTGTGCGTGATGGTCCGGACCCCGCGCCATTCTCGCATCGCCCAAGGAGCTTCGCAAATTCAGCGTGGGAAATGCCCAGAGGACGGGTGTCGGTTGCTTGCCAAGTCAGCGACTCTGCCCCTGCTGGCGGGTGTTTCTGGCGAAGTTCGTCCAAGATTTCTAGACTTGGTGTGCAGACGGGTGTTGACTCGAGCGCCAGCACGGCTCGGCGCAGACTGCCACGTTTTGCCAACCCCTCCGCTTGACTCAGTACACCTGTCACGTTGGGTTGGTGATGCGGGGGTGGAGGGGTGTTCACCACGTTTACTGCGTCCACTCGCCACGCTGGAAAGCCCGAAGTCGGGCCTTGATTTGCGGCCAGTTTGGGTGCTTTGGCGAAGCTTGGCGAAGGGTCCATCGCGGGAGGAAAAGGAGCAGTCGCCAACCCACCTCGGAATCAAGGTTTCGCGAGAGATGGTGTAGGGGAGTCAGGAGTGCCAGCGAAAAAAAACTGGCACAAATTTGGCGGTAATCGTCTCGACAGTGGCGGTTGTCGACTGTTGCAGAGGGCGGAAACATCCCAGTTCGCGATGTCAGCGAACATGTCGCTCCTCTCTGCCAGCTCCTCTGGCGAAAAATAGCGGGGCAGCTGCGGGGTCGCGCCTGACGCATGGTGGAATAATGCGGTCCGATTTCTTGCCGCGCGGCTCGATCTCGTTGATTGCTGCCGAGTTGGATTCCCACCCGTTCAATCAGCAGCCGACGGCCCTGCTTGCCCCTCCGTTTCTGCCGTGGGTAAATTGGCTTCACCTGGTCCTCTCCTCCCCGTTCCTACCCTTGTTGTCTTTGCTCCATCCCCCTTTTCATTTTCACTCTCTGGCTGCACTTCCACGATATAAGAGGGGTCATTTCTCTCCTCGACTTCATTAGCTGCCACCAGATCTATTAAAGCCCGACGCCCTGCCGCCTGATACCCGTTCTCCGGTCCTCCGCCTGCTCCGCTAACCGCCTGGCTCCTCTCTCCCTGATCCCCTTGTCTACATGATGGTGATTGCCAGTGCGCCTGAGCCGTCGCCAGAGCTCGTTGCCGCCTGGTCGGCAATGGTCGCCAAGCCTCAGTCTGAGCCCGAAAGGGCTACCACGGCGATGAAGCCCCCTCTGCCTCCGGCTCCGAAGCCCTCGACAACATCCTCTGAAAAGATTCTTCACCCCGGACCCGCGGCCTGGTGGTGTCTGCCGCGGGTTCGCTCCCCCCCTCTCTCTCTCTCTCTCTCTCTCTCTCTCTCTCTCTCTCCCTCTCTCTCTCTCTCTCTCTCTCTCTCTCTTTCTCTCTCTCTTACTCTCTCTCTCTCTCTATCTCTCTCTTTCTCTCTCTCGCTCTCTCTCGAATAGTCCTTTGTATTAATATCCTCAAGGTACAGACATGGGTGCTAAGCTAACCAACAAACCAACAACCAAATATGCACACAACTTAGTTGAAACGGAATTAGTTAGGGACAGGATGCCAACGGTCGAACGAGCATCCAATTTTGAACTGACCTGGCAGATTTTCGTCGGAGTCGTCAGCGCGGAACAGAGTGACTAGCCATATCAGCCACTCAAGGCACTGTGCCTGCCGTGCGCTCCTCTCCCAATTCGGTTGCCACAAGTCATGAATGAAAAGTCGCACGCTGGAAAAAAAGCCGAGGTCGCCGAGGTGCCAGTTCCCCGATGCCGTACCTGTGCAAAAAAACATAAAACAGAGGCAGTTATCGACTAGAAAAGAGAAGAAACCAAGGGTTCGGTTGTTACAACCGCCAATACTTACGTATCATAATACGTGTCGTACCCCGGGTCTGGAAACCCGGGCACCTTCTTCTTCGCCAGGTAGCGCACTAGCCAAATCCAAGCGTCCATGGGATCGTTACACTTGCTCATGAAGTACAGCGATTCCACGAGCGCCAAAACCTGCAACATTTTTTTGTCATGCGCTTTCGGATGTAGGTCGATGCGCTGCTGTCGCCCATACTTCTGCAAGAGGTCCTCCTGCCGCTGCAGTGCAAAACGATGCTTCACCATCCCTTCATGCTTCTTGAAGGACTGCGTCTACACGTCGGTCGCGCCCTCACCACACCGTCCACACTTGCCTGTAATTTTCGCGAACTCCAACCAAATACTGCACTTAAAACTAGGGGCACCAGAAGAGGTTTTAGTTAGTAGAAGCCACGAGAAATCGGTCGACCACTTTGTCTTGAAACGAAAGTGAGCTTCTTCGTATTTCAACTCCAACTTGTCGGTGGGAGATTTGTCGGTGGGCTTTAAGCTGACCTGCATGGGAGAATCGTTGCTCGCTGGAGTTTCAACGGTCGATGGAGGAGGTGGAGTTGCCCACGGAAACTTGGCCTGTCAGTACCGCAGCTTTGTCGGTGGCGCGGGACGGGACGGTGCTTCAATGGACGCCTCATATGGCACCGCCTGAGTCGTAGCGATCACTGGTTCATTGACAGCCGTGGGCAGAGGTTTAGAGTGCATGGAAGCCGGAGGACGACTAGAGCTAGGTTGCGAGGGTGGAGCAGTCGGTGGAACATGACTCGGTAAGCACGATCTAAGAAAATTCTGGCCGGTCAAAGCGTCGGAAACAGGGCGACGATCGGCATCGTCATCATCGTCGGGCCCTTCAGCGGCAGCCTCAGTGGCTGCCATTGAGTCTTCCGAGCACTAGTTTTGCGAGTTCGAGGAGAGAGTGCCAGAGGCAAGGGTTCCGGCACAAGTTTCCGGCGAGGAAATTGAATGAAACGAGAGAGACAGGGCACTGATTAACCCCCACAAAAGGCGACGATGAGGAAGATGAGAGGTCCTTGTATTTGGACCGCTCATCTCCCTGGTGGTCACTGCATGCATGGTACCTGGTCGTGTGTGCAGGGAAGGTGGGGTGAGTGGGGTGGATGGGTGTGGTGACGTGAGAGTAGTAGCGCGCTGCGAGCTATGCGTTGGCAAGGAGGACGGTGGAGGAGGGTGGATGGATGTGATGTCGTCCGGGTGCAGCGCGCTGCGAGCTATGCGTTGACAAGGTGGACGGTGGAGGGGGGTGGATGCTTGTGATGTTGTCCGGGTGCAGCCCACTGCGAGCTATGCGTTGGAAAGGAATCTTGCCAACACTGCCAGCTGCGCAGCCGCGATTGGCTGGAATTGAACCAGATTACAGCATTCCTGTACCAACGTGACTGTGCGGTGCCGTTCTCGGGAAATTTTCCGTTTCCCGCCCGTGATTGATGGTGTTAGTGCAACACGCCGCCAGGCTTGCGGAAACCCTTGCAGTACCCGTTTCAGAGTGCACCCCCGAAACAAGGCTGAGGCTCAGCCTACACTCATGAAATTAGTCTTAACTTTCAGCCAATACATTTAAAAAAACTCTGAAAGATCAGAGAATGTACATAGTAAAATTCTTACAGTACAGACCAGGTACAAAAAAAAAGTCTGAACGGACTCTGAATCAGACAAAAAAGTCTGATATCTAGGGCACTGGTAGCAAAAGAGCGAGAGAGAGAGAGAGAGAGGAAGATACCTCATTGCTACATACTTTAGCCTGACATTGATTGCCTTCCATTGTCGCTCATAAGTCTGGTGATCAATTTATGCAAATAAGGTACAGTTAGCAACACACGAATTCTATTCGGAAAAAAAAGCCAACAAGGTGGAGAAACTCGTTCAAAATTCCACAGTGTTCGCCACTGTTGCAACACTGAAGAAGATAGCACACACAAAATGCCGTGTTGGCGCTGCTGCTGCTGATGCTGCAACACGTGCATCCGCCGCCGCTGTCCCTGCGGTTACCGATGCTAAGGTTGTCCAAGGTGTAGTCGCTTCTGCTGCTGGCCCTGTCGTTGCCGCTGCTTCTGCTGTCCCTGCTGATGCTGCTGTCCCTGCTGATGCTGTCCCTACTGATGCTGCTGCTGTCCCTGCTGATGCTGTCCCTGCTGAGGGTGCTGCTGCTATCCCTGCTGATGCTGCTGATGCTGTCCCTGCTGATGCTACTGCTGTCCCTGCTGAGGCTGCTGCTGCTGTCCCTGCTGATGCTGCTACTGCTGTCTCTGCTGCTGCTGTCCCTGCTGATGCTGCTGCTGATGCTGTCCGTGCTGATGATGCGGCTGCTGCTGTCCCTGCTGATGCTGCTGCTGCTGTCCCTGTGGATGCTGCTGCTGCTGCTACTGCTGTCCCTGCTGATGCTGCTGCTGCTGCTTTTGTCCCTGCTGCTGCTGCTGCTGCTGTCCCTGCTGATGCTGCTGCTGTCCCTGCTGATGCTGCTGCTGCTGTCCCTGCTGTGGCACCCGCTGCAGCTGTTGCCTTCTCAGTTGTCGTTGTTGCATTTGTAACCTTCTCCACTGGCGGCGTCGCTTCTGCCCCAACTTTACGTGCTGTTGTTCATCCCGCAATTCCTCGCTGTGGTCACCAAAAACTCCCATGAGTCCACTAATCAAGGGGTTATCCGTCACAATTGATTCTTGTGTATTTGGTACTGGGGTCTGGTTTGTATACCCCCCTGGCCCTTCCTCTACCACATCTGCTGGCCTCTGATCCCTATTTCCTGATTCGGGAGCCACTTGTCTTTGCTGACGAAGGTGTTGCATCCGCTTAAGTCTAAAATGGACCACTCTGTCACCATTATCTTGTGGAGCGTCACCTGTAGTGGGAGTGTTGTGATCATCGGCCATCTCACCCGCCACTCCACTGCTCTCTGCTGCTCCTCCCCTCCCAGCAGTGCTCTCTACTTCTCTTCCCCTCCCAGCACCGCTCCCTGCTGCTCCTCCCCTCCTAGCCCCTCTCCTTGCTGCTCCTCCCCTCCTAGTCCCACTCCCTGCTGCTCCTCCCCTCCCAGCAATGCTCTCTGCTACTCCTCCCCTCCCAGCAACCCTCCCTGCTGCTCCTCCCCTCCCAGCATCGCCCTCTGCTTCTCCTCCCCTCCCAGCACCGCTCCCTGCTGCTCCTCCCCTCCCAGAAACGCTCCCTGCTGCTCCTCCCCTCCTAGCATCGCCCTCTGCTTCTCCTCCCCTCCCAGCACCGCTCCCTGCTGCTCCTCCCCTCCCAGCCCCGCTCCCTACTGCTCCTCCCTTCCCAGCATCGCCCTCTGCTTCTCCTCCCCTCCCAGCACCGCTCCCTGCTGCTCCTCCCCTCCTAGCCCCTCTCCCTGCTGCTCCTCCCCTCCCAGCATTGCTCCCTGCTGCTCCTCCCCTCCCAGCAATGCTCTCTGCTGCTCCTCCCCTCCCAGCAATGCTCTCTGCTGCTCCTCCCCTCCCAGCAACGCTCCCTGCTGCTCCTCCCCTCCTAGCCCCGCTCCCTGCTGTTCCTCCCCTCCCAGCAACGCTCTCTGCTGCTCCTCCCCTCCCAGCAATGCTATCTGCTGCTCCTCCCCTCCCAGCTACGCTCCCTGCTTCTCCTCCCCTCCCAGCACCGCTCCCTGCTGCTCCTCCCCTCCCAGCACCGCTCCCTGCTTCTCCTCCCCTCCCAGCAACGCTCTCTGCTGCTCCTCCCCTCCCAGCAACGCTCCCTGCTGCTCCTCCCCTCCTAGCCCCGCTTCCTGCTGTTCCTCCCCTCCCAGCAACGCTCTCTGCTGCTCCTCCCCTCCCAGCAATGCTCTCTGCTGCTCCTCCCCTCCCAGCAACGCTCCCTGCTTCTCCTCCCCTCCCAGCACCGCTCCCTGCTGCTCCTCCCCTCCCAGCACCGCTCCCTGCTTCTCCTCCCCTCCCAGCAACGCTCTCTGCTGCTCCTCCCCTCCCAGCACCGCTCCCTGCTTCTCCTCCCCTCCCAGCAACGCTCTCTGCTGCTCCTCCCCTCCCAGCACCGCTCCCTGCTTCTCCTCCCCTCCCAGCCCAAGGTACTTCTGCAACGGCGAGATCTCGCGCAGCTCGAAGGCGGATTCCAGCAGCTCCTTCAGCTCCTTGAGCATCACGGCGCTGCTACTGGCGACAAGCAGGTCGTCAACGTAGACCAGCACCCAGCAGGCCACTCCGTCCTCGCCGACCTTGAAGTAAAGAGCCTCGTCGACCTGGCTCTTCTTCCACCCGGCGCCGACCAGCACATCGTTGAGCGCCAAGTACCACAGCAGCGGCGACTGCTTCAGCCCATACAGGCTCTTCAGCAGCCTGCACACCCGGCCGGATCCGTCGTTGAAGTAGTCCGGCTAGTGCATGTACAGCACCCGGTCGAGCTTGCTCTGCAGGAAGGCGTTCTTCATGTCGAGCTGCATCAGGTTGAGGTTGAGGACGGCGACGATGCTGAGGAAGATCCTCAGCGTGACGTAGCTGCCCACCGGCGCGAACGTCTCGTCGTAGTCGGCACCGTACACCTGTGTGAAGCCCTTCACGACCAGCCTCGCTTTCTCTCGCTCGAAAGTGTCGTCGATGTGGTACTTCGTCGTCAACACCCACCGGTTCTTCATGATGTTCACTTCCGGCGGGCGTTTGACCAGCTCCCACATTCCCATGTTGAGGAGGCTGCGAATCTCCTCCTCCATGGCGGCCTTCACCGCCGGGCCCTTCCAGATCGCCAACGCCTCCTTCACCGTCATCGTCGAGATGTCCCAACGGTGCTCGGGGTCGGCTAGCATGTCGGGGTCGAGCTCTGGAAACTCCTCTTCCTCCTCGGCGTCGTCGTACAGCAGGTCGTCGTCATCATCGTCCACGTCGTACACCGTGGTGAAGGCAGCGGGGACGAAGAAGTCAGGCGGCCTCCGAAGTCGGCCTGAACGCCGTGGTCCCGGCTGGACCTCCTCGGCGTCCCCTCCATCGTCGCTGTCGTCGCTGCCCTCGGCGTCCTGCTGCTCCTCAGTCGGCGTCCCAGCCGACTGCTCCCCTGTGGTCGGCGTCCCAGCCGACTTCTCCCCTGTGGTCGGTTCCCCTGCCGACTGTCTGGTCGCCGACTGCTCCTTGGTCGGCGTCGCTGCTGCCTGCTCCCCTGTCAGCTGCTGTTCTGCAGACGTCTCCTTCACCGGCTTCACCAAAGTCGGCTGCACCACCTGCTGCCTCCCAGTCGGCGTCAGCTGCACTCCCACGCCGACTTTCACATCATCACATCGGCCACCGGCGATGCTTGGGGCCGGCGCCACAGGTGACGCCCCACTTCTCCCCTCATCACCGGAGGCCGACGTCGGGGTCAGCGCAGGCAAGTCGGCAACAAGGGGAGCGGCAGGAGCACAGGGAGCGGGGACGGCCTCGGCCTCGGCCTCGGCGTCCGCACCAGCAGGCTCACCGGCCTCGGCGAGCAGAGGCAGGGTCGCAGCCGAGGTTTTCGTTGGCGGGTGAACCGGCGTCCGCCCTGACGCCGGCTCGTGCGCCGACTTCCACACTTCCAGCGATATGCTCTCGTAGAACACCACGTCCGACGTGGTGACCACCCGGTTGTCGGAGATGTCGAGGAGCTCCCAGCCCTTGCTCTCCTCCGACACGCCGAGGTGAAGGCCCCACCGTGCCTTCGGCTGCAGCTTCCCACCACGCTGCTGCTCGGGGATTAAGAACTGCGCCATGCAGCCCCACACCCGCGCCAGCGACAAGTCGGGCTTCTTCCCAGTCAGCAGCTGGTACGGCGTCGTCCCCGGCGGTAGCGCCGACCTCTCAAGGCAGTTGCGGACCCAGACGGCCTGCCGGAGAGTGAGGTGCCACCAGTGGTGCTGCACGCCCATGTGCAGCAGCATCGTCTGCACCGACTCCACCACCGTCCTCATCTCCCGCTCCGCCATGCCGTTCTGCTGCGGGGTGTATGGGCAGGTCAGGTCATGGATGATCCCCTTGCCGTTCACGAAGTCGGTGAACTGCTTCCCGAGGAGCTCCCCTCCCCGGTCAGAGCGCAGCATCAACACCGACTTCTTCGTCTGCCGCTCAGCCACCGCCAGCCACTGCACGAACACCGGCAACGCATCTGACTTCTTGGCGACCGGCTTCACCCACACGTAGCAGGTCTTGCGGTCCTTCAGCAACAAGAAGTACAGGCTGCCATCCTTGGCAGCCACGTGGAACGGCCCGCACAGGTCGATGTGCACGACGGCCATCACGTCGTCGGCGCCGGAGCCTTTGTCGGGGAAGGTGTGCCGCGTTAGCTTCCCGCTGACGCACAAAATACACGGGGAGTCGGCGTCGGACGCCGACTTGAGGTCCAGCCCGGTGGCGACCTCGTGCTCCGCTGAGCTTCGGATGGTGTCCATGCCGACGTGCGCAAGCCTTGCGTGCATCCTGTCCGGCGTTGCCTTCGTCGCCAAGACGATCGCGCGCAGGGCCACTACCTCCGTGGTAGGCGTTGTCGGCGTGGCCGAGCAGGGGCGCAGGTCGGTGCAGAGGAGACGCCCGGTGTACGTCGCCTGACCGAGCACCTCCCCTGCTGCCGAGACGAGCAGCATCCCGTCGCCATCCTCCTGCAGCTTCACGCCGTGCTCCTTCAGCAGGACAAGGGAGGGCAGTGGTGGAGGTCGCAAGGACCGGACCCCCGGAGGGGTCAGCCAGGGAGACAGCAACCGGCCTAGGGAGCTGCTCGAGGGCAGTGCGGTCGCGAAAGAAACAGCGGGAAGCACCTGAGTCCAGTGTGAAGGTGTGCAGTGCCTCAGTAGACGCAGTACCTGAAGGCGCAGACTCACAAGCACCTGAAGCAGCAGACACACCTGCACCTAGAGCAGCAGCCTCACCAGGACCAGGGGCAGCAGACGCACTAGCACCTAGAGCGGCAGCCTCACCGGCACCTGGAGCAGCAGACTGGATACCGGGGTCAGGCGGCACACACAGGTGACAGGCTCCCTCGGCACTAGTAGACAATACATACATTGCAGTGAGAATAGCATCATAGTCAAGAGCAAAGATATCTACCCTCTGCCTAAGCAGCTCCACCCAGTCGGGGAGCTCAGCGTCGTCGCCAAACTCTGTACGCCAAGCGTCGCTCATGCGGAGATAACTGCTGCAACGGGAGCTAGACTACAGGCTAGGCACGGGTGCTCGTGTGATCTCTGCGTTCGTTCACTTAGTCGTTTCCTTGTGTTCACGATGCTTGCTAGTTCACGGGGAGAATTGGCAAGAGTTTCACTAGGAAAACATGACAATAATGATAGCAACAACATTGGCATCACAGACTACATCAGTGCTAGCTAGGCTGCTGGTCGACCTCCAGTGCAGCAGCGCTTGCACCGCTCCAGCGTTGCAGAGTAGCGGATCGCCAACGTTGCAAGTCCACGGTGTGCCAGCGCTGCAACAAGTCGGCTGCACAGCGTTGCACCCGCAGGACAACGGAGCACCTGCTTCGCAGGTGCGCGCAGCTGGTTGGTGCGCACTTCCCTGTCACGTGCACAGCGCAGACGCCTGGCAGACTCCACGCCAGCGACTGTGCCCACCAGCCACGTCGACCTCGGGATACCACCCCCGAGGTCGGCCTCGCAGACTCCACCCTGGCGACACTCGCGCACGTCGCCCGGGTATTCCGGTCGACCGGGCAACCACGCTTGGCCGACCAGCGCAGTCCGTAGCCGGCCACGGATGCCCGGCGTCCCCAGTTCGGCGTCCAGGCGCCCAGGACGCCTTCCGAACCCCCAGGTCGGCGCCCAGACGCCCAGGACGCCGAGCAAATCTCCAGAGCGGCGTCCCTCCTCCCGGGACGCCGACCAGACGCCCAGGTCGGTGTCTGGGCCCCCCGGGACGCCCAGGTCGGCGTCCGGACCCCCAGGACGCCGTGCAGACGCCTAGGTCAGCGTCTGGCGTTCCAGAACGCCGTGCAGGCGCCCACGACGTCGACCAGGCGCCCGGGTAATCGTGGCGACGCCCAGCTCGGCGTCCAGCTTCCCAGGACGCCGTCCAGGTGTCCAGGACGCCAACCAGGCGTCCAGGACGGCGTCCTCCAGCTCGGCGCCCTCCAGCCAGGCGCCCTCCAGCTTGGCGCCCTTGCAGTGGCCCCCGTGGCCACTGCTGCAGGTCGGCTGCAACCCCCGCACATCCGACCACAAGGTTGGCTCCGCCCAAGCGAGGACGGGGCCTTCCAACACTCCCGTTGTCAGCTCAGACGGGCGAAGCAGCGGGACTCTGTGTGACCACGCGTCCCGCAAGGCTGACCAGTCTGGACACCCGTGCTAATAACGTACGGGCAGCGAGCACTACTCAGCGACCCTCTACTCTGAGCGTACCACTCACGAAGCTGCTGGGGCGAAAGAGTCTCTCGCGGACGACGCTGCTGCTGCACAGGGCCACTACAAGAAGCTCCCGAACTACCCACTCCTGGATGACTCCCACTACTACCACCCCGACAACCCCAACTGGCGTACCACTCACAAAGCTGCTGGGGCATGAGGGACACACGCGGACGGCCCTGGAGCTGCATCTGGCCACGCCAGGAGCAGAAGTAGAAGCAGGAGCAGCAGGAGCAGCAGTAGCAGTAGCAGCAGGGGCAGGGCAGTGCTCACCATTGGTGGGAAGGGCAGGCGCACGACGGAGGCGACTGCGGGGCCGCTACAGCGGCAGGGACAGGGCCGCGACGGTCGCTGCTGCAGGGGCGGCTGCTCCAGGGGCCAGAGGCAGCTCCTGCAGTGGCAGCTGCTCCAGTGGCCAGGGGCGGCTGCTGCAGGGGCGGCCACTCCAGGGACCAGGGGCGGCTGCAGGTGCGGCTGCTCCAGAGGTCAGGGGCGGCTGCTGCAGTGGCGGCTGCTCCAGGGGCGGCTGCTCCAGGGGCCAGGGGCGGCTCCTGCAGTGGCGGCTGCTCCAGTGGACAGGGGCGGCTGCTGCAGGGGCGGCCGCTCCAGTGGCCAGAGGCGGCTGCTGCAGGGGCGGCCACTTCAGGGGTCAGGGGCGGCTGCTGCAGGGGCGGCTGCTCCAGGGGCGGCTGCTCCAGGGGCCCGGCGCGGGGTAGGGCAGGACGATGCGGCGGGCAGGGGCGACGCGACGAGCAGAGCGACGCGGCGGGCAGGGGCGACGCCGCGGGCAGGGGCGACGCGGCGGGCAGGGCGACGCGGCGGGCAGGGGCGACGCCGCGTCAGCAGCTAGGCGCGGCCGCGTCAGTAGCAGGGCGCGGCCGCGTCAGCAAGAGGGCGCGGCCGCGTCAGCTGCAGGGCTAGCGGGGCCGCGTCACGGCAGGGCAGGGCCGCGACTGCGGCCTGACGGGGCCGCGATTGCGGCCTGACGGGGCCGCGACTGCGGCCTGACGGGGCCGCGACTGCGGCATGACGGGGCCGCGCCTGCGGCCTGACGGGGCCGCGACTGCAACCTGACATGGTCGCGTGCTGGTCTGATGGGCCTGCAGAGGCTGCGTGCGGGTGGCGAGGGCCTGCAGGGGCGGCGCGCGGTCGGGCAGAAGCTGCGCGCGGGCGGCGTGGTCCTGCAGGGGCAGCGCGCCGACCTGACGGGCCTGCAGGGGCGGCTCTCGGGCCTGACGGGCCTGCAGAGGCGGCTCAGGGGCCTGGCGGGCCTGCAGAGGCGGCTC